ACAATTAAAATAATAAGTATCAAATTTAAAAAGTTAAAAAATCATAAGGAATAAAATTACAAAACATTTATAATTTGATAGATTGTTTAGAGATTAACAATGTCATGGAGTGAATAGAAAGAAATTATTGAGGGCTAACCTAATAGAATCAAACCATAAAAAAAGAATAAAAAATAAGAAAATATCGATTTAGAAAAAAGGAGAAAACCAAGAAAAGCCAGCTAATCTTTTAAACCTGATCTAATCTCTAAAATTTATAACCCATGAAATTTTTTACTCGGATTCAATAAAGAAGTCTAATTCTCAATCAATTTAATTTTAAAGGATGAGATTGGTTAAAAAAAATATTTAAAAAAACTACAAAAGCAACAAAACTATTATATAAAAAAATTAATAGAAAAAAACTAAGGAGTATGCAATTTAAAAAATAATAAAAATGATACAAAATAAAATAAATAACAATTAAAGAAAGAAGAATAAATTAAAAAAAATCAAGGAGAGTGAAATTGGAAAAACCAAGCAAACTCGAACAACTATTCTAAACATGGTCAATTTTTAAAAACATGTAACCTATGAAACCATGAATCTGATTCCGTTCAAGAAGTTTATTATGAGCCAATTTGAAAATATCATTTTTTAAAAATTGTCAAACAAAAAGAATAGCAATCAAAGGAATAAAAATTAAATTTGATAGGAAAAAAAAACAATGGTGAAATCATAAAATAAAATCATATATGATTTAAAATAAAAAATTATCAAGTCTAAAAAAATAACAATAAAAAAGATATAGATTAAATTTGATAAGAGAAAAAAAGCAGAGGAGGGTGAAATCATAAAACAAAATCAATTTAAAAAATGATTCCAAACAAAAAAAATAGTAATCAAATGATCGGGGACCAAATTCTATAAATTATTCAAGATAAAAAAATTATACTAAAAAGAAAATGAACCAAATCTGAAGAATCAACATATTAAAGGGTTGTTCTTGAATTTTTAAGAGATTGACATGAAAATCTAGGTTGGGGGGAGAGAAGAAGGGGAAAAAATGATTGTTGATATCAAATCTCTATGAATCTTGGAACACGCATTGCCTTATCTAGTCAAAGGCCCCAAGACCTTTCAAATATTTTTCTAGAAGGTGGTGTTTAGTGGTTGGACAAACCCTCATACCCCACTTGAATGGTGTGTTGGCGTCTACAAGCTAATGAGTGCCGCACACGCACTAATAATTTTTTAATTATATTTAATAAATATAATTCACAACAATGCTCCTGAGTACTATTGAAAATTATAATTAAAATAATACAAAATATAAAAAAAGAAACCCTTGGATGAGAGTTCAATTGGTTTTGTCTTTAAGAATATCAAAGTAATTACACTATTCTAAAAAATTTAAAATTCAAAGCATGTTCTTGAGCAACAAGCATTAGATTATTTTATTCTAGGGTTAAATAAATAATTTTATTGTAGATTAAAAAATAAAATTACCAAACTAACCCATAGTATTTGCAAAAAAACAATTCTGTCATAGTAAAAAGACTACCTTACCTCTAATGCCTAGATTAAAGTTTTAATGGACAAGGGACAATAATTATGTTATTACAATGAATACTATTATGTGTCATGGGGCATAATAATTTTCATTCTAGTGTTTTTTTTTAATGTATAATATTTATCAATTAATATGCATGTTTAGTTTTTTCAAAGCGAGCTAACTGTAGAAATCATAGATAGTAGAAATCATAGACAGCCACATTAACTCCATTGTTCTTGCTTGATGATGTTTCAAAACATCTAAGTATATTATAAATAAGGTTTATATATTGGATAATATATTAATCTCTTAGTTTTAGTAATCTGATTATTTCTTCATAGTTAAGGTAGTTGATAATTGGTATCTGGTAAACTAAAGTGACTAATTCCTAGTAAGTCAAAGTGGTTGGTACCAAATAGTTGGTGCTTGGTAAACTGAGGCAGTTGGAAGTTGATACATACAAAAAATCCTATTTGGTAGATGAAAATAATCTCAGATGTTTAATTAAATGTTTTTCTAAAGAGAGAAAATACAATGACATTTTAGAAAAATAAACTTTGAAAATATAAATGCTAAAATATTAAAAATGAAGAGATTATAAACTTTGAACTTGATGAATTTACAAGGTATTTATAGCTCGTGAGTTTTTTTTTTAGAGGAGGGGCTGAAGAGTAATTTCACCTCTATAAATTAATATGGCATTTTTGAGTTGTATTTCATTTAAAATAATACATATTGAATCAATATAAAATATTAGAGGAATCGCGTAAGGGTCTTCAAAATTATTGAAGGACTTGCATAGGGTCTTGGAGCAATTCTAAAGGAAGTGTTGGGGTCAGACAAGTTGACTAAGCTCGATACAGTAAAAAAATAAACTTAAACATGTTGTCTAAACCACTGGTAGTTGGGCTTAGGCACATGCACGTGCTCATTAGGGGTGGTGCCTTGGAGCCTAACACCCTAATTGGGCTCAAACACATGTGCCCACTATGGGGTTGGGTAGCAGCCTAGGTCTGTTTCTTTTAGTTAAGCAACATACCCAATTTGGACCTAGATTGTTGCCCGAAATCATATATTTATGAGAGACTTTTTTAAAGTTTTTTAAGAGGTTTTTTGAACATGTTAAATTTAAGTTTATCATGGATGAGCCAATACATGCATCAAATCTCATTTAATATGGATATAACGACTATTGTGAGAGTATCTTAAATCTTGATAACATGCTCAAAAGGAAAAATGGATGAATCATGGATGATTAAGAACGATTCCCTTGTGAACCTAAAAACATGAAAAAAATAATGATTTCCTTATATGAAGTTGATTTAGATTAACAAAGATCAAATACTCCTTAATTTTTTTTTTTATATTTGTCTAATTATCCACTTAAACTAGCTTAAAATAAAATCCCTCTTAAACTAAGGATTCCTAAAGCAATCTAAGTGCACTTGAATTAAGGATTCGAAAAGCAATTAAAATACACTTAAACTTAGGTTTCCTAACTTTATTAGGATTTTCATCGCTCTTGGTGAATGTTTAAGATCTTAGCTAATCTTTTTCAGCCCCGAATACTATAAATACAGTTCTTTGGCTAATTTACCCTAATAGAATCAATACAGATTTGAGATGGGTGATAGCAAAACGATTGCTCAGCCACCACGTTGAAATATTGATATCATGAAGCAAGAGTTTAGAGGTTACAATATATCTTAATGAGACTAGGGAAAAGGTATACGAGGAGTAATTTTTTCTATTTGTTAAACCTTTAGATGAAATATATGTTGGTTAAATATTTTTTATAGCTAATCAGTTGGTTATTAGAGATAATATTATATTTATGTAAACATATATTTATTAATAATAAAGGTTTAATTTATCTTTAATATTTATATGATATTAGATTAATGAATCTAGAGTAAAGATAAAGTTTATGAGACAAAAATGCTTTGTAAAGAAAATTATAAAGTTTTTATAATTATGAAGTTCCTATTGCATCTATGTATTGTTTTTAAAATATTCCTAGTTGATGCTCTCTTAAATACTCGACATTCATTGGAGTCGTAAAAACTAACACATATTATGTTCTTTTCTTTATGAAATGAAGCAATTGTTTTCATAAATTAAGGTGTAAGAGATACTTGGAACTAATGTATAGGTACTTGTCATAAGGTATATATACTGAACTAACCCGCATGAGAATTCTATATAAAAGAGATCACCTATATCTATGGAAAGGTTCATGTGATGGTTGTTTAAATGATCTTTATACTTGAGATCACCAAGTCATCTTATATAAAAATTGCTATGTTTTAATCTTGTTACCTGTTGTTATAGAGGTAATCAAAGGACAAATATTAAATATAACATAAATTGTATGAATATACCTAAGTGATTAAGAGATGATTAATTATCATATGTGAATTAAAAAAAATATATTTTATTTGTTTTCAAATAATATTAACTGAAAAATTATTGGTCAGGAAAGAATGAGATTTAAAAAGAATTTTAAATTTTATTTAAATAATCAATAATTATGGTGTAGAGAATAAATATGATTTAATATTATAGATATATTTAATACTTAAATATTAAATTAAAATATTATTGATAAAAAAATATTAATTATATTGAAAAACTAGTCACTAAAAAATTAAATAAAACTAAAAATAACTTAATGACGGTGCTGCTCTTGTCGATTAAGCGAAATTGAAGATTGGCTATTGTGGTCGTGGATGGAGAAGGCAATCCAACCATTAATGTTGGAAACTAAGAAGGGGTTCTTTTTTAAAATAATAATTAATTAATTATGCATAATAATAATAATAATAATAATAAGAGTTTGAAAATTTTGTTCTTTCATCGAAACCTTACTCTATTATCTACTGTATCAATTGATTCCTTAATTTATGCATAATTACTTGATCAAAGGTCCATTCTCCTTGCTGGTATTGCATAATAGAACACAGGATCACTGCTTCTCCTCCATCTCAGCTGTTTGATTGCTTAATTACTTGATGCAGTCCCTTGATCACCCTGAACTCACAGCTATAAATTAAGGCATGCCTTCAAATTTGACTCGACATTGTTTTAAAACAATTTATTTTTTTTATAAATAAAAATAATTAAGAAAATAATAATAAAAAACATGTCGTTTAGTATTTTTATTTTAACAATTTAAATAAAAAGAGATAACATCGGTTTAAGAATTTTCTTCCTGGTCAAATTGTTTTAAAAGAAATACTAAATCATTTGTTGTTTGCCTCTTTCTAATTATTTGTATTTATATATTAATTTTTTTTTTAAAACGACGTGCTCAGAGCATTGAGAATAACTATCAAAGTTCAAGCTTTAGCCTTAACAGTCAAATTTAACAACAAATCTTAATTTGTCTGATAATTAATAATTTAAGAACATTAATGGACAAATTCAGAGGTTAATCTTAATTACTTCAGGCTGTCTCCTAAAAGCAAAAACAAAAACCCAATCAAATATGAATTAGCTCAATTTGGCGGCTAGGGTTTAGTTTGTACCATTCCTGTTCATATTTGGACTTTGTATATAAACCTCTGTTGAAGCTATAAACTTGTCATCGTTATAAGCCAAATTTCTCATCTGGGTTTTGTCTAAATTCTTTTATCAACCATTCATTAATTCTCTCAAGTAAGTCCCAAATTCTATCGGTTTTGTTTAGTTTTCTTTGGTTTTGATCCAAATATAGATCTGGATTTTTCTTTCTTTGCCCAATATTGATTCGTTGATTCAGTTCTAAACCAAAAGTTCATATCTTTAGTGAAAATTTTGTGTCTTGGTGCTAAAGATTGCATCTTTCTCAATTGGTTTGGTAGGTTTTAGTGTTCTAAATCAAGGGTTTTTGAGGTCTAAGTTGGTTCTTTTCAAGAAGTTTGATTCTACATTGTAGAAATATGAGTTACCCTGATTCCCCTGTTTCTTTTATGGCATCACAGGCCTCGTATCAATCAGGCAGTGATGCTGTTGATGTGTGGCCTCAATTTGTGATGAATAACAATGAGCAATTTCAACAACAACAACAACAACAACAACAACAACAACAACAACAACAACAACAACAACAACAACAACAACAACAACAACAACAACAACAACAACAACAACACCAACCTCCTTATAAAAGACCTAGAAGCTCTGAGGACAATTCCAACCAATCCATGAGTTCTAGGGTGCCACCAACAAACAGCCTTCCAGTCCACAAGGGAACAACCAACATCTTTTTCAAGACAAGAGTGTGTGCAAAGTTTAAGACTGGTACTTGTAGGAATGGTGAGAATTGCAATTTTGCTCATGGAATGCAAGATTTGAGGCAGCCCCCACCAAATTGGAAGGAACTAGTGAGTGTAGGTGTAAGTAATGAAGAGGATAGGTCAACAGCGACTAATAGGGAAGATGATCTGAGGATAATTCACAAGATGAAGTTGTGCAAGAAGTTTTATAATGGGGAGGAGTGTCCTTATGGGGACAGGTGTAATTTCCTTCACGAGGATCCAGCAAATTTCAGGGAGGACGCGGGGAGGTTCAGGGAGAGTTCTGCAATAAGTATAGGGACTACAGGCCACCTGATGGGCCAAGGAAGTGGCGTCTTTAATGCTGCTGAAGTTAACAGGCCTGCAAACACTGCTGTTTCGGATGCTCCTCGATCAAATTTAATAAAGCCTGTTTATTGGAAGACAAAGTTGTGCACGAAGTGGGAGATGACAGGTCAATGCCCCTTTGGAGAGAAATGTCACTTTGCTCATGGGCTAGCAGGTGCTTTCTGTTGCTTAAGTTGCATTTCGTTGTTATATTTAACCTGTTTGCCACTACAGTAGTTGTTAGGGTTATAGTTTGGTTAAATCTTAACGAGTCAGACTATTTGAATTGGAATTCTTCATTTGTTTTCCCAGTAGGCTTTAAGTGTATGATGATATCTTGATTTATCTTTCTGGGGAGCCCGGTGACTTCCAACTGAACTTGTTAAAATAAATCAGCGAGTTTAAGCTTAAAAATTCCGTTTTGTAGTTTTAGTGGCCCCTGAGATACTGGCATAGCTCTTATATGTCACCTTATCTGCCTTCGAATTGATGGAAAATCCTTGCATGAAAGTTAAAGGCCTATCATTTATAGAGAGAAGTTCATCTTGTGCTAACTAATATTCAAATTTCCATTTTCTGGAGATGGATCCCTTGGTCAATCAGTTCTCTTTTAATCATTTCCTAATTCTATTCACACTGTATCTGTTTAGAATAGCCTTTTAATGTCCTTAAAGAGTAGTGTTTTTGGATGTCGAATCTTCTTAATCTAATATTTAACAGGATCAGCATGTCCTACATCTTGATTTTGCTTTGTTCTTTTTGACTTTCTGTGAGGCTGTCTTCTTATCTCCTGAAAAGGCACTCATAATTTATCTCTTTAAAGTATATTATTTAGTTATCTAGAACAGAATTTTATTTTTTTAGTTAGAAACTTGAACCGCTGCATCTTGTGCAGCAGTAATATTTTCTGGGTCCTCAGTTGTAGCTCTATGATTAGAGATAGACAGAATTGGTCACAAGCATGCACAATGTTGATGCGAGTAAGCAGTAAGAATTGTGTGCGATGCTGTATTTGTCTTATTTTCTTATCTTCCATTATTTTCTTGACTAGAAAAGTTGATCCTTGTATTTGATGCGTGTTGCGCCATTTAATCACAATTGTGTTCCTCTAGAAAAGATGCAAAGAAATCATCATTGATGGGCTCTGTTTTTGTTTTTATCTATTAAATTATACTTTTCCATTGAACTCAGAGTTGCAGGTTCCTGGTGGACGCAATGAGGTGGAAGCAGGAAATGCAGGCTCCACCGTGACTAACTCACCAACACCTGTTCTTCCTAATAACACGTCTCCAAGTATGACGGTGAATGTGCCTAGTTTAGTTGAAGAGAAGGGTACGAAATGTTTATTAAAGTGGAAAGGACAGAAGAAAATAAATCGGATTTATGCCGATTGGCTTGATGATCTGTCATTAGTGCACACCTCGACAAACCAGGTGCAGAGTTGAGTTTGAGTTCACAGTTAAAGTTTGCACTGTATTCATGTTTTAGTCGAATCAAGAGTTTTTTGACTGTTCTGTTTCCAAGGTTTAAAATTTTGTACTACAGAATGTTGAGATGTCCAAAGTCACAGGAGATGAGGCATTTTAATAGTTTTCTTTTTTCACCCATTGTTTTCCTTCATTGATATGTTCTTTTTGCAGTATGGAACTAGCCACCATTGATTCTTGGTAAACACACAAAAATTGAACCCAAACAACAGTGATAAACACCACATAGAAGCAGTCTGCAGAAGGCGGGCAGTTCAGGGGGAAGACATGGTTCTAACTCTAACCGAGTTAATGCAATGCAAGTTATAAATCAAAGAGAAGTGCCCAGCAATATTGAACAATTGAAAGAAAGGTGAGCTTGTGAGGGGACAATCAATTAAGTTGGAAACAACAATGGTGTTGGTGACCTTGACTCTATAATTCCTGGGATCCTCTCAAATCGTCGAAATCTGAAGTGATTCATCAATTATTTATGCTTGACTAGATGATGTTCTTCTAGGACATGCAACTCTATTTTTTTACATTGCCTTTATTTATACTAATATAAAAGTGGGAGCATCATGGATGGGGAAAAAAGAAAAAAAAAAAAGTTGAAAAAATTTACGCGTTCAAATTTTTACTATATATTATTGTTTTTTAACTTTATCTTTATTCTTAATATTTCTTATTTTTTTTTCATAATTTTTTTTTATTTTTTTATTTATAATTTCACTCTTTAATTCAAGTTAATAGCGTGTTATTTATTTTTATAAAGTTAATTTATTTAGTTGGTTAATATAATAATTCAAGTTATTAAATTTTTTTTCTTCCAAAACATGCTTACAATATCTAAATATTTTAATAATAATACAAACTCATAACGCAGATGAGATGCCTATACAAGTTCACAGTTGATTACTTGAGTCTTGAAACACAGAACCCACACAAACCATTTAGAGTTTCTTTTAATTCTTAGCACCTGCCTTGTTTGACAAGATGGAGTTTCTGTAGTGATGAATCAACAGGTCCCCAGGCCATAACGAGGACGGTGTTGTTTGATGTGATTGTGGGGTTTGATCCAAAGAGACTATGAAGCCAACGCATTAAACAGCCAAGCCCATAAACTTGTAGGGGTTACAGGAAATTCCTTAAGCCGAGATCACAATTTTGCATAGTCAAATTTCAATTCGTAACCGATCCTAGGGCCAACAAGCGGAATTGGCGGCATTATCAAATTTATCAAAACTGACAAGAGATGGGTTTCAGAAGTTGATGTCAGCTAACAAGCTAGATGCCTTGTTGACTCCCAGCGCATCTGTTGCTCCTGTCCTTGCTTGCAAATGGAGGATTCCCAGGAATCAATGTCCCATCTGGTTATGACGATATTGGGGTGCCTTTTGGCATTAAGGGTACAGAACGGCAGCTGATTCAGATTGCATCTGGCTTTGAACAAGCTACTAAAATCAGAAAGCCTCCTACATCCAATGTTGGAAAAACTTCAAGAGAAGGTATGTCAATTGGCACAGTGTCACCTCTTACAGGACTTGTTTGAGTCTTCTTCTAAAAAATAAATAAAGTAATAGATAAATACCCGAGGAACGCTAGATTTGCTCATTCAAGTGGTAGTAGTTCTGTGAATCAAAGACAAGCTTGAAAAATATCCAATCAGCAACTCATTATTAACAGGCCAAGCAATGAGTAGGGAAA